GTGACATTGATAAGAGATGTGAAGAGTTAAGTATAAGCATTTAGCAACCATTATCTACATGGTATTGGCGGCAGGTTCGGTGTTAATGTCTGGTTATTGGCGGCAGGTTCGGTGTATCTGGTTATTGGCGGGTTCGGTGTTAATGTCTGGTTATTGGCGGCAGGTTCGGTGTTAATGTCTGGTTTGGCGGCAGGTTCGGTGTTAATGTCTGGTTATTGGCGGCAGGTTCGGTGTTAATGTCTGGTTATTGGCGGCAGGTTCGGTGTTAATGTCTGGTTATTGGCGGCAGGTTCGGTGTTAATGTCTGGTTATTGGCGGCAGGTTCGGTGTTAATGTCTGGTTATTGGCGGCAGGTTCGGTGTTAATGTCTGGTTTTGACCTCATCAGCTGGACACTCTGGTTATTTTGTTGTTTAGGGTTTAAGAAAGTTTTCGGGGTGGGGGGGCGAGATGATAAATAGATGAGACTTGGAACCTATTTTAGTTACTTAGATAAATATTGTTCGTCTTAAGGTCCACTGGGTACACTGTTTATTGAGGTATTTGGGGGACGTACATACATACATACTTACATACATACATACAGACATACATACGTACATACTGTACATACATACCGTGATCTTGTGCCTCACTAACAGTAGTGTCATGAAGATAAAAAAACAGTCGAATGTTGAGGTGACGAGAAATACGAAGACGTTCCTCCCTCCCTCCCTCCTTCCTTCCTTCCTTTCCAACCTCCTTCCTTTCTTCCTTCCCTTCATCTCTCTGTTTTTCTTCCTCCTTCTTTCCCTCCCTTCCTCCCTCTCTCCCCACTTGCTTCTCCACCCTCCAAGCGGTCGTGTGTGCTGACAGGAACTCAAGAACAAGGCTAGACGTAATCTTTTGTTGTGAGAGCTTTTTATTATCTCTCTCTCTCTCTCTCGAGTTGGTGACATCATTTTATACCAGACCTGAACGATTATGAAACAACACATTTACTATAGTTTTAGTGTATAATGTGCCATAATAACTTGACACCTTTCTTTTGTATATAAAATGATATGCCTTCACTTTTTTCTATACAAGATAATGTGGTGTAATCCCCTACGTTCTATTATGAAGTAGATGATGTGACGTAATACAGTGATCGTGAGAAGTGTAAACATACCGGTCATGACGACACATTTTTTCTAGAACAGCAAAATGTCCACCAACCAAAACGAATCCAGTAAGTCGTCTCTCTCATCTATGAACCCTGTTTATTATGGTCCCTGTGAATCCGGAACATCACACTATCTATGGGTCCAATAATGTATGATGTCTCGGATTCACAGAGACATGATTCACAGGGTTCATGGATTCACAGGACTTGTTTTTTGGTGGGATTGTTTCTGAAAGGACAGTATGATAATGACTAACTTAAAACCTTATGTCATTTTCTGCATTATTTTTCCCTGTATCGATTTGCCTTACTCCCAGGATTGCGTACCACTTGTATATATTGGAACAGAGGCGTGTTAGTCTCGTTTTCCTCTTGGCGTGAGCTGGTGTTAGTTAGCAGAGTTACTCCTGTACTGGTAAGCGTATAGAAAATGGGCATCTCTATTATTTGGATTTTATTAGACGGAGTTAGTATGTATTTTTTATTTTTTCGCTTCTTATTATGTAACAGAAAGACATATCGTTGTAAGAAGAAGATAAATGAGAAGACGAAATAATAAAACGTAATATTTTTTTTAATCTGCCAGTAGTCGGAATGATTCACCCAGCACTAACCTAACCTAACCTGAACTCTACATTAACTAGATACCTTCACTATATCACTACTTTTAAGTATAAGATTTTATATATACGACTTTTTAGAGGAGATTTAGGTGAAGAATATTTTCCAAAAGATTCTGTACCTTAAGTTGGTCTCTCTAATGCTAAAGGATACGTTTGTAGTTCAGGTGTAAATGATGTTATTGTCTGATGTTGTTTTTCCTATAAGATTATGTCAAGCATCAAGAAGTTGGTAGTAAGTCTAATCTCTGGGTTAGTTGAAACTCTATCTGCCGTGTGGTGATGATAAAGTGCTTGTAGTGGTGGTGGTGTTGTTTTGGTGGTGTGGTAGTTTTGATATAGTGTGGATTGTGTGGTAGATGGCATAGTGGTATAACATAGTAATGTGGTAGTTGTGGTTGTGTTATAGTCTGAATGTGTGGTAGTATGGTAGTTGTGGTAGTATGGTATTTTTCGTAGTCTTATAGTGTGTTAGTTGTGGTAGTGTGGTAGTTGTGGTAGTGTGGTAGTGTGTTAATTGTGGTAGTTGTGGTAGTGTGTTAGTTGTGGTAGTGTGTTAGTTGTGGTAGTGTGTTAGTTGTGGTAGTGTGTTAATTGTGGTAGTTGTGGTAGTGTGTTAGTTGTGGTGTGTTAATTGTGTTAGTTGTGGTGTGTGGTAGTTGTGGTAGTGTGTTAGTTGTGGTAGTGTGTTAGTGTGTTGGTTGTGGTAGTGTGTGTTGGTTGTGGTAGTGTGTTAATTGTGTTAGTTGTGGTAGTTGTGGTAGTGTGTTGGTTGTTGGTAGTGTGTTAATTGTGGTAGTTGTGGTAAGTGTGTGGTAGTTGTGGTAGTGTGGTGGTTGTGTTGGTTGTGTTATTTGTGGTGGTTGTGGTAGTGTGTTATTTGTGTGGTGTGGTAGTTGTGGTGGTGGTTGGTTGTGGTGGTGTGGTAGTTGTGGTAGTGTGTTAGTTGTGGTAGTTGTGGTAGTTTGTGGTAGTTGTGGTAGTGTGTTATTTGTGGTAGTTGTGGTAGTGTGTTAGTGTGGTAGTTGTGGTAGTGTGTTATTTGTGGTAGTTGTGGTAGTGTGTTAGTTTGTAGTAGTGTGTTTAGTTGTGGTAGTTTGGTGGTTGTTGTGTGTTAGTTGTGGTAGTTGTGGTAGTGTGTTATTTGTGGTAGTTGGTAGTGTGTTAGTTGTGGTAGTGTGTGTTAGTTGTGGTAGTGTGTTGGTTATTGTTGGTGTGTTGGTTGTGGTAGTGTGTTGGTTGTGGTGGTGTGGTGGTTGTGGTAGTGTGTTGGTTGTGGTAGTGTGTTGTTGTGGTAGTGTGTTGGTTGTGGTAGTGTGTTAGTTGTGGTAGTGTGTTGGTTGTGTTGTTAGTTGTGGTAGTGTGGTAGTGTGTTATTTGTGTGTGTGTTATTTGTGGTAGGTGTGGTAGTGTGTTGGTTGTGGTAGTTGTGTGTGTTATTTGTGGTAGTTGTGGTGGTGTGTGTTAGTTGTGGTAGTGTGTTGGTTATTGGTAGTGTGTGTTAGTTATTGGTAGTGTGTGTTAGTTGTGGTAGTGTGTTAGTTGTGGTAGTGTATTGGTTGTGGCAGTGTGGTGGTGTGGTAGTTGGTGGTGTGTTATTTGTGGTAGTTGTGGTAGTGTGTTGGTTATTGGTGAGTGTGGTAGTGTGTTAGTTGTGGTAGTTGTGGTAGTGTGTTATTTGTGGTAGTGTGGTAGTGTGTTGGTTGTGTTGGTTGTGGTAGTGTGTTAGTGTGTTAGTTGTGTTAGTTGTGGTAGTGTGTTAGTGTGTTAGTTGTGGTAGTTGTGTTGGTAATGTTGGTTGTGTGTTAGTTGTGTTAGTTGTGGTAGTGTGTTGTAGTTATGTTAAGTTATTGTTGGTTGTGGTAGTGTGGTAAGTGTGTTAGTTGTGTTGGTTGTGGTGGTGTGTTAGTTGTGGTAGTTGTGGTAGTTATTGGTAGTGTGGTAGTGTGTTGGTTGTGTTGGTTGTGGCAGTGTAGTAGTGTAGTAGTTGTGTTAGTTGTGGTGGTGTGGTAGTGTTAGTTGTGGTGGTGTGGTAGTTGTGGTAGTGTGGTAGTTGTGTTAGTTGGTAGTGTGGTGGTTGTGGTAGTGTGTTGGTTGTGGTAGTGTGGTAGTTGTGTTGGTTGTGCAGGCAGTGTGTTAGTTGTGGTAGTGTGTTAGTTGTGGTAGTGTGGTAGTGTGGTAGTTGTGTTAGTTGTGGTAGTGTGGTAGTGTGTTAGTTGTGTTAGTTGTGTTAGTTGTGGTAGTGTGGTAGTTGTGGTAGTGTGGTAGTTGTGTTAGTTGTGGTAGTGTGGTAGTGTGTTAGTTGTGGTAGTGTGTTAGTTGTGTTAGTTGTGGTAGTGGTGGTAGTGTGTTAGTTGTGGTGGTGTGTTAGTTGTGGTGGTGTAGTAGTTGTGGTGGTGTGTTTTGTGTTAGTTGTGGTAGATGTGAGTGGTTGGCTGGTAGTCATGGTAGTGTGTTGGTTATTCAGTATTAGTTGTGTTAGTGTGGTAGTGTGTTAGTTGTGGTAGTGTGTTAGTTGTATTGGTTGTGTTGGTTGTGTGGTAGTTATTGTTAGTTGTGTTGGTTGTGTTAGTGTGAAATTGGTGTGTTGGATTGTGTTGGATTTATTGGTAGTGTGGTAGTTGTGGTAGTGTGGTAGTTGTGTTAGTTGTGGTAGTGTGTTAGTTGTGTTAGTTGTGGTAGTTGTGGTAGTGTGTTAGTGTGGTAGTTGTGGTAGTGTGGTAGTTGTGGTAGTGTGTTAGTTGTGGTAGTGTGTTAGTTGTGGTAGTTGTGGTAGTGCAACGCTCATTACGTCACACGAGTAGTCATTTAACGAGTCAGGGAACAAAAATCCCGCCACCCTAAACCATCAACTGCCGGGATTTTGTTCACGTTATTGTGTTTTGTGGAAGCAGTTTGTAGCTCGGCAGGACACGGTCGCCTAGATAAATTCACCAATTTTTTTGTGAATAAGAGAATCGTATGTAAAGTTTAGTGTGGTGATTTATGACTCAATTTAGCAAGTCATTTAAAACAGGGAAAATATTTTGCTTGGTTTCTTCCACTTTTTGTAACTACATTCAGGGCGTATTAGTAAAAGTACAAGCCGTGAAAAATTAATTCCACCTGACGGGTAAAATGATGCCACGTGTGACCATATTTACTGGCCGCTAACGCTACCCCAAGACCCCCGCAACACAGACTGCTGGACATGAGACAACTGTGATGAAAACTAGTATTAGAGAGGTAGGTACTTACCCCAGGCCTGGGAGGAGAGGGCAACGGGAGGAGAGGGCAACGACGCCGAGCACGACCAGGAACACGTTGATCATCCCGCGAGACATGACTGCTGGAGGAGTCGCGGATGGGACGACTGTGACGGAGAGCGACGGTGGGTAGGACGGCTGTGGTGCGGGCCGGTGGTGGGACCAAGTTTCAGACCAACGCTAAAAGCTCCGTCGTTTGATCCTGTTGTTGCAGGTCTTTGAAACGTCAAGATTTTTTGTTTGTTTTTCCCGTAACGTTGGCCACTGTTTGATGTTGTGTTGTGGGTGACGGGACCAGGGCTGGAGATAGTTTCGGGGAGAATTTCTTTTTGCAGTAGACTGTGACGGTGGGGAGCGGGAAGAGTGTGTTTTTAGCGGGAGTGTTCCACGCACTACACCTTGGACCAAATATGATTAGTCCGGGATTCTCTGTTGCCTTATAAACGGTTGTACTCACCTGTTCCCTTCGGAGTCTCACCTACGCGCCCCGCGCTGCCAAAATCAATGAGAGATCCGGAATCTTTCGTTCACCGCCTCTTGACAACTCTCCTAAGTTTGTGTTTGCTTGAAGACACTTTTCTATAACAAGTAATCTAACTTATAATTTTACTTTCAAAAGATCTTCTCTTACTCCAAACGTGATAATTTGTACATAGATAGAATAAAATATATTTTTTTGTTGACCAAGTTAAATGAAACAAGACACACTCAATATAAAGTTAGCAGGTGCCTGGAGAACGCACCAGCCAGGTCCCGTTCCGCGATTGGTGCGACCTCAAATATGATTGGTCACGCGCAGAGTGCTGAGCAATGACGTCACGTTTACCTGACCAATGAGAACAGCAGACTGCAGAACATGTGTAGCAATTCAGAACGTCACAAGTGGCGCGCACCAATCATGTCACCTGTAAATTTACATACACACAAAATAAAACAGGAATCCCCAAAAATGTAAACTGCCAGGTCATCACTGCCCCGTGAAAGAAACCTTTTATAACGACATAAACTTAAACTAATAATAAAAAAAAATAAACTTTGGTAATTAATATTCCAAATTCTGAGTTCACTTGGAAAAGTTAAACAACAAAAGTTGTGGGCGTGGTGGGATGGTTACTGCTAAGGATTCTTATTCTTATTGTCATCAGAAGGGAGGGAGTGTTGGAGTTTACCCCACCAACTCTTATTATGTCACGATGGGGTTGTGGTGGTGGTGGTGGTGGTGGTGATGGTGGTGGTGGTGGTGGTGGTGGTGGTTGTTGTTGTGTGTTATGGTTGTTGTTGTTGTTGTGCGTTGTGGTTGTTGTTGGTGTGGTAATGATTGCTGGTGATGATGGTAATTGTTGTTGTGATGGTAGTAATGCTTATTGTTGCCGTGGTAATGACTGTTTTTGTGATGGAGAGTGTTGTTGTAATGATGATTGTTCTTGTGGTGGTTGTGGTAGTGATGGTTTGAGTAGTAATGGTTATTAACGTGTAGTTTGTAGTTGGGACAAAATACCTTGGACACTTAGCTAACGGGAATTAGAATCTAAACCTATTTTCTCAAGACTTTCTGTATATAAACGCGTATTTTATTCCAATATTGTGACTCTGATGTAATGACCAACAACATTATCAAGATATAAAACAATAATGTGACCCAGAAGTAGATGGTAGATATTGCCAAGTGTTGAGGGAATTGTGTTCGTCAACTGGATATAGGGAGAGATGAGAGAGAGAGAGAGAGAGAGAGAGAGAGAGAGAGAGAGATTGTGTATACTGATGATGATATGTTGATGTTTCTGTTCTTGGTGACGAATCCTGACAGAAAATGACATGGGGGGTTGAAATTTTGGATCTCTCTCTCTTTCTCTCTGTCTGTCTGTCTCTCTTTCTGTCTATTTCACCACAATTGGACATACATAATAGGATAAAGTATATTTCTCTTCAAACCCATTATAGTATTGACCACTTTTACAGACATACAGTATACTATCCTATTACCTAGTGTACATGTAGCCGACTGAGTCCTGTTTTTATGCTGACCAAACATCAGGTCGTGTACAGCCCATATAAAAAAAAAATAGTTAGTAATTTGCATAGTTTTGGTAACACATGAATCGTATAGCTATAGTGGCCAGTTGTTTTGTTGTGCTTGTGACTGCTGATTCCTGTGTTTGTTTTGTTTATGTGTATAAGTTTGTTTATATGTGTATCACCTGTTTTTACGTTTGTCTCAACTGATTTGTTTCTTTACGCTTGTGTCATATCACTTCTCTGTTTATACACCTGTCTCAGCTGACTCCTTTGTTTACATGCAGGTTTATATTACCTGAGTTTCTTGTTTACTCTTATTTCAGCGGAGTATTCCATTTTATATATGTATAAATTGTCTCGTTCATATACATCAATGGCTCATGTAGTGAACGATATGAAGAAAATCTTACGAGATCAAGACATCACAACTTGAAGCCAACATAGACACTGGCAGGACAATCATAACCCACTAAAATCACCATAATCAATCAATCAATCTTTTAATCAATCACAGTACCGTCTTCATATCTGAGGGTTGGCGACCACAGTCCTCTTCTCTACTCGTTCTCAGACTGTTGTTAGCAAGCCTCTAAGGTTCTGTGTCTCTCTGGGGGAGCAGTTTTTAATCTCATTCGTCCTCTCAGGCTCTCCCTTCCCCTGGCCCTCAACTTTGCCCATTACTGTGTGTTATTATCCTCTCATCTCTAATTATGCTGTATTACCTTACCAAAGTATCTCATTTTCCGTTTTCTGTAACTATCAAGTATTTCTCTTCAAGTTTTTGTTAATCTTATTATTTTGTAAATTATTTTCCTGTTATGATTTCTTCCGTACCTCTACCATCACAGCTAATGTTTCTTCCCAAATACACAATATTTTCCACTTGTTTCAGTTCCTTGTTGTTTACCATAATTTTTATTTTAGGATTTGTTTCCAGTTTGGAAACAAACATTACTTTCATCTTTACAGCATTAACTTTTAACCCATATTCTTCAACTTTTTCCATTAATCTGTTTCCAGTTTTTGCAACGCCTCTTCACTATCTGTGACAAGAGCAGAATCATCTGCATAGTGTATATTTTATATTCCTTTACCATTAACTTTTATTCCTATTTAGGTAATAATACTAATATTTTTGGTAATCACTGGGAAGGTCTCCTTTGAAATATGCAGTATAGAATATTTTAGTCAAACATTTGATCCTATTCTTCTCCATTTGTTTTATAAATTCTGCTGGAAGCTGATCAAACCCACAAGCTTTATCATTTATCATTTTGCTCACAACTGCCTCAACTTTTTTTTTTCCATTATTGTCAGTTTTATCTTTATTTCCTTTTCCTTTCTTACTTCCACTTTATTCTTATCATTGTATAGTTCTTCTACATTCCTCTGCCCATCTTTTCTTATTGTCTTTCCTCTTAATAGACCCTCCCCATTTCTCTGCTTCGTTTGTTTAATGTTTCTGTACACTTCCCTCCAATTATGTCTTCTCTCATCATCTTCTATCTCCTCGTTTATCCTCTAATCTTCCTTGGTCTCTCTACAATCCTTTTTTTTTTAATTTCTTTTGTTAGATTCTTTCTCAACCTCACTTCCTCTTATCATATTTCTTCGTCTATCCATTTTATTTAATATATCTTTTGTCACTCACTAACTTTTAGCCTCGTTCCTCCTGTGCCCTGTAAGACGGATATATTGAACACAGACAGACAGACAGACAGACAGACAGACAGACAGACAGACAAACAGACAGACAGATAGACATTGAAAAGATACAGACATTTTGCCTTTGTCTTATGATATGAATATAAGTAATAATGTGTGTGTGTGTGTGTGTGTGTGTGTGTGTGTGTGTGTGTGTGTGTGTGTGTGTGTGTGTGAAAGACAGGACGTTGATTTAAATTATGTCCTAACTACATAAAACCACAAGTATATAATAAGTATACTGTATATAAGTCAGATAAAGACAAATAAAAACTAAATTATACTAGAATTTAATATAATATAACTAACATATATATATTTAACAGGAACAAGTCACTTGATTCAGTAATTTTTAAAGGTCACTCCTATATTGTTTACTCCTGATGACTCGTTATAGGAGGAAACGACCACAAAGTTACTTAATATAATGTACTGTCAAGTTTGTCTTAATTTTTTATTTGTTTTTTGTAAATAATGTGAATAGAATAATAAAATAAAATTAAATACCTGATGTTCCTGATAATCTTTAAAAAAAAACAAGAAGAAAGTTAGTTTATTAAATTTAAAGTTCTGTGTTCTCAAATTTTTCTTAAGACTTAATAATTTTCTTCTTTAATTTTTCAACAGGTTAGTTTTCTTCATATACCATTGTAAAAATGTAAAAAAACAAGGCTACAGTTATCAGTTTACAGTATCTTCCAATGTTTAAATACAGTTCCTATTACTAGTCATTTATTAAATCATTCGGTTGGTTACAGTTGAAAAGTATATTGCCTGAAAATATACCTTTATGACATTGTTGACGCTCTTAATGTGTTAAATAGTGCTTGTATAAACACGCTTTATATCACTGTTTTAAATCATACCAACTCTGGTGTGTGTGTGTGTGTGTGTGTGTGTGTGTGTGTGTGTGTGTGTGTGTGTGTGTGTGTGGACTTAAAACTGTTCTTGATTGTCTTTTTTTTTTACAAGTATTTTATTATTATTTTTCTTGTAAAGCCTCATAACACCTCTACACCCCGCCGAATACCTCACCCTGTACAGACACACAGGTACTCTTTAATACTCTACGTGACTCACACACCTCAGCAGGTCGTGAGTATAGCTTGTCAGTGTCTGGTGGTGGGTGAGGGCTGGCAGCAACACACGGTGAGGCAGGGCTGGCAGCAACACACGGTGAGGCAGGGCTGGCAGCAACACACAGTGAGGCAGGGCTGACAGCAACACACAGTGAGGCAGGGCTGGTAGCAACACACAGTGAGGCCGGGCTGACAGCAACACACAGTGAGGCAGGGCTGACAGCAACACACAGTGAGGCAGCAGCAACACACAGGGCTGAGTTATACCATTAGTTATAGTCTCTCGTTTTTATGTGTTATGGTGTAATGCTCTGAGCTTGTGTGTAATACTTGTGTGAGTGATGGATCTATCTATCTATCTATCTATCTATCTATCTATCTATCCACACATGTTTTACCACCCTGTGTTCTCTATTCCAGACAGCGGTGGTGTTACAAGACCCAGAACGTATCTCACCGTCTGCGCCTCCCTCAGGTAAGTACTCCTTCGTAAACATTAAATCGGGTTAGCATCGGTTTTCCCAGTGGCCTTTTACCTCCATATTTGTTTCACGATAAATTGATGATGCTTACTGTGTCGTCTAGATGTGTGTGTGTGTGTGTGTGTGTGTGTGTGTGTGTGTGTGTGTGTGACAACAATGAAAAGACTAAAATTTTTCGTCAATGTATTCAAGTCTTCTATACCTTTGCAAGTGCCTCAGATATCCCACCGGACGAGCAAAACAAATCACCCTAGACCCATGAAAACAGACAGACAGACAGACAGAGTAACGGTTGAGGACCCCTGAACGCATCGTGCGGCAAAGGGGCCAAAAAATACTAAGGGTGATGTTGGGGGGAGGGGTAGGGGGGGGATACGACTCTACTGGCAACTCTTCCATTTTCTTTCAATATTTACTAAATACCTGCGATTAATAACGCTAATGACATGATTAAATATCACCAGGTGTATGCCAGGTGATATAACAAATCTATACAGGCATGTGTGGCCAAATGTACATATACTGTACTTCTAACATATAAAGTACATAATAATTTAGAGTGTTGTTACTATACACTCACCAGCCTCTGACAGCATCATTGCGAATTTATTTTTTCCTACACTTCGCATTGATTCTTTGATTGATACTTTGTTAACAAGGAGACGTTACCCTTTACCACCTCCCCAAGAAGTGAGGGAGAGAGGGAAGAGGTGTGAGGGTATGGAAATCAGTGTGAACGTGTGTCAGTGTGTCAGTCAGTCAGTCAGTCAGTCAGTCAGTCAGGAGATATCAACTCTGGTTTCGATCATTTTCCCGTAGATGTGAACTGAGTCTTACATAGCACAGCTGCCGTCATGTTAGTGGAGTGATCCTGACACACCTACAGAGGCACCAGGTCAAAGGTCATGGGGTAGACTGTCGGGGCACCAGGTCACAGGTCATGGGGTAGACTGTCGGGGCACCAGGTCACAGGTCATGGGAGAGACTGTCAGGACACCAGGTCACAGGTCATGGGAGAGACTGTCAGGACACCAGGTCACAGGTCATAGGAGAGACTGTGAAGCACAGAGCCACCGGGTCATGGGAGAGAGACTGTCCAGGACACAGGTCTGGGTCATGGGAGGGCTAATCGGGGCACCCAGGTCTAGGTCATGGGAACTGTCAGGACACCAGGTCTGGGTCATAGGAGAGACTGTCAGGGGCACAGGTCCTAGGTCTGGGGAGGAGACTGTCAGGACATCAGGTCCACAGGTCATGGGGTGAACTGTCAGGACACGAGGTCACAGGTCATGGGAGAGACTGTCAGGACCACCAGGTCTGGGTCATAGGAGAGACTGTCAGGACACCAGGTCACAGAGTCTGTGGGAGGGCAATAAGGACACGAGGTCACCCAGGTCATGGGAAAAGGCTGTCAGGACACGAGGTCACAGGTCATGGGAGGGGCCTGTCAGGAATGCAGTCACAGGTCTGGGGTAGACTGTCAGGACACTGGGTCTGGAGTCATGGGAGAGACTGTCAGGACATCAGGTCTGGGTCGCCAGGAGAGACTGTGGGGCACTAAGTTTCTAGGTCATGGGAGAGACTGTCAAGACCTGGGTCTAGAGTCCATAGGAAGACTGTCAGGCTGGGTCACAGGTCATGGGAGAGACTATATATTGGAGTATAAACCATTTATTAAACCAATTCACTTCGAAACATTATTCAGTTTGCTGTCGGGAAATGAAATGAATACAAATAGTCATTTCTGGGGTCACCTAAAGATTAATTACCCTAACCTAACCTAACCTAACCTAACCTAACCTAAGCTAAGCTGGGGTGGAAATTTTTCAGGTGATCCCATTTGTCATTGTGGATGGTTAACTTTTAATATACTAAGTGTGACTCTGAAAAAAATGATACTTTCGTTTTTAAAATTTGAATCTTAAAGTGAATGAGTTTGTCAATAATGATTTTTTTGCATTTTTCAATATTGTTTTCTGTTCTGTTTCATCGATGGTGGTAGTGTTATAGAATGGTGGTAGAGATATGGGATGGTGGAAGAAGGTAGAGGAAAAGAATGGTGGTAGAAGCTAAAATATCGGATTGTGGTAGAATCTAAAATATCGGATTGTGGTAGAAGCTAACTTATCGGATTGTGGTAAAAGCTAAAATATCGGATTGTGGTAGAAGTAACAGCTTGCCCAAACACATTTTTGGAAGAGCTAAGAAACATTTTAAAATAATCATTCAATTTATTGTGTGTATCAACTCACAGGTCACTTGTGTCCGTCTAAATGGTGGCAGTTACGGTGATGTTATAACTCAGGAGACGGCATCTGTCTATAATCATTTACCCTCACTACCACTCCTCTCCATAGTCTCTATAATCTGGTGTCAGCGGCGGCAACACTTGTCATGTGAGGTCATAACTCCTGTCACCTCAGGTCTACAACTTCTCAGCTCAGTGGCTCCTTGGAAATGTTGTCAAGTGGGGTCACGCAGCACCTGATAAGTTCCCATCTCAGTATTTTACTCTCAAAATATTAACTTCTTCGTAGGGCAAGTGATTGTACACATGGACATGAAACATCACTTGCCCGACCCCTAGTCCGGTCTACTCAACGTGCTGGAAGGTCTTTGCACCCATTGGCTTCAACATATTGACGATACAGTAGAATAACATCGACCACTGAGGCATCTCCACTGGATGTACAGAGCTTGTCCAGGCAGTGTGTGTGAGATCAGCCTTTGAGCTAAGTTGGAGTTTCCCTAAGTGAGACAAGGAGGATGAGTAGGCATGATTCTCGTGCTTGTAGAAATTTTCCAAGTCTCCTTCTCGTGTTTGACAGGCAATGTGAGGTCTTGAACACATATGGTGCGAATATATGACGCACGGTAAACATTGTAATGGCTGTAGAGTAAACAACTGAAACATTGAAAGGTTTAGATTCCCCTTAGCTTAGAATGATCTTTTTAGTCATCAGTGAAGAAATTATGATCACTTCACGACCACCAAGAAAAATGCTTACCGACCCTATAGAGTTGAGAATCTTGGTCTAGTGTTTATATAGAGAGTGAAGCAGGTGTCTGTGTCGGGGGGAGAGTAAGTGATTAATAAACAGTGATTCAGAAACGGGAGATAGGAGACGGATGAGAAAACCGAGAGGGAAATGAGAGAATAAGGTGATAGGAGAGGAGTGGGATTATTGGGGTTGGTAGTGGTGTGTCTACATGACGGGGTAGGATAAGGCTGTGTGGGTTGTGATGTATCGATACGGTATGATGGATGCTGCTGGGTGAGGCGTTTGATGCATCAGAGGAAAACCAGATGGTAAACGGAGAGGGTGTTGGTGTTGTTGTTGTGGAGGAAAAAGGAAGACAGCAGAGAACACGGCTGTTTAGAGAAAATTAATAGCAACGTCGAGATATTTCCACCATCTTTTGCAATAACTAGCAAGAGGTTTATGAGAGTAAATATGATACTAATGTTAATGGTGACATGAGTTAATATAAATGATTATTGTGGACGAAATAAACAAAAATAAACGTAATAGTAATAAAAAATCGATCTCCGCAGCACACAAGCCCGAGAGGTTGTGTAAAATGCACATTTGCATTTATATGGATGATTAGGGTCGTTCACATCTCGTATACGGATAAGGGAAATAACCTGATGACAGAGGAAATGATTGGTGTTATGAGGAAGACATGTGGCCCAATAGGCCTGGATTGGGTTGAATAATTTCCCTTAAAACTAGTTGTCGGAAATTTTTGGTTTCTGATATTTTGTGTAAAAATCCATCTCATAAGTTACTCCCTGTTCATAACTCAGAATTGAATAGTTCTGTTCAAAAGTCTGCCTTACATAACCCTATTCAAAATTTTCGTCTCAGATATGGTTTGTTCATAACTACATGAAACAGTGTTCGTAACTCGGCAGCGGCTCTGAAATATGCTGAGGTTAAGTGTGTGGCTCCCAGATCTGTCCTTCTTCTTGAGCTATAGCCGGCGGGAGACTCTTCCCTCCACCCAATTATTGTCGACATTTCTTGCTATAAACAACTAGAAGCGGACTTGAAGAATCTTAAAGAACTACTTCTTGGATAAAGAATATAAATTTAAAACTTTTCGAATATTCAAAGTTTACTTATTTTTTTCTCGAATGTGTGTGTGTGTGTGTGTGTGTGTGTGTGTGTGTGTGTGTGTGTGTGTGTGTGTGTGTGGCGGCCTCTATTTACATCCAATGTCCCTAGTCCACCCACCTGTGTCATGGTGGGCACTATCATCACCCTTCCCCATCACCTCCCCCATCATCCCCATCCCCATCACCCCCCATCACTCCCTCCCCATCACCCCCTCCCCATCACCCTCTCCCATCACCCCCTCCCCCATCACCCTCTCCCCATCCCCACCCTCCCATCACCCCCCATCACCCTCTCCCCATCACCTCTCCCCATCACCCTCCCCACCCTCTCCCATCACTCCCCCATCACCCTCTCCCCATCCCCACCCATCACCCCTCCCCATCACCCCCATCCCCCTCCCCATCACTCCCCCATCACCCTCTCCCCATCAAGGCAAATTAAACGAGATGGCACAGGAAACTTGTCAAGATGTTTGCTAAGTGAGTCATGACTTATGTCTACCTTAATAAGTATACACTATAGACATGTGGTGGGGGGAGGGGAGGGGAGGAGAGAATGGGGAAGAGATGGGAAAATGGTGGAAAAGAGGACAAAGGATTGATGGAGAGAAGAAGGAAGGAGAGGGGGGTGATGTGAAGGGAGAGGGGAGAGGGGGGAGAGGTATAATGGGGAGGGGGGGGAGTGGATACGGGGAGCAATATCAGAAAACAGTATTTTCATTTCATTATGTTCCTTATCAGTCAATTTTTCTCCCCATTATCACGTCCTTTTCCTCCCCATTTGCCCACCCATCTCCCATCCCCATTAATGCGTCCCCACCCTTAACTACCCCCATTAAATGCCCCATTAAGAATATTACCAATTTTAACCACAACTCAAATTGACTGTTCGACCTCTAGATGGTTTTATCCCCTTAGCTTCACTCTGGCTTCATTCTTGCTTCACCCTGGTTTTATTCTTTCTTCACCCTGGTTTTATTCTTGCTTCATCCTGGCTTTATATTGTTTCACCCTGGCTTCATTCTTACTTCATCCTGTCTTTTTTTCTTGATTCACCCTTGTTTTATCTTGCTTTACCCTTGCTTTACTATAACTTTACTATTGCTTCACTGTAGCTTCACTTCGTAACTCACCATAGCAATCAGCAAACAATCAACTTCCACAAATGGTATCAGTTGCTAAGGACGTCAAAAAGTGGGCGGAGATAGCCCTCGAGCAGCTATTCAAAACTTTCACCCACCAATACTTTTTTATATATTGTATTGTACCCATTTTAATGATCAACATGGCTGTGGTGTTTTGAAAATAAAAATAATATAACAAAATACAACACATATGTGGTTATAATGTACTGAACTGTAAAGTGTTAATATTGTTCTCGCTATCGTGTGGTCAGGGGACATATTATTGCCATCTACCCACTGGCAGTTGCCTCGTATATATTCACAAGTCATAAAGTTTATTCATACATATCATCACCGGTAGAGATTTAGATATAAAATACAGGTTCAGTAATTCCCTCTATGTGTGTGTGTGTGTGAGTATGGTAGAGGCGGAGTTTGAAAAAAAAAGACAAATGTATTTATATATTAGTTAACCTGAGTTTGTAGACCTGGTAGGGGAGGCATAGTGTTTCATGGTCGGCATGATGTATTCCTTACCTTATTTCCATGGTACTTACTCTCCGTCACATGCTCATAACAACTACTATTATCGTGGTATGATTACGTATTACCCGCCTCAGAGCGTTCGTAAATCCTGGCTGACCTTCCCGAACGCCAATTTGTGTAATTTTGTAAAGTGCTCCTTCAGCGTGACTACCACTTACAGTATCCCTTATATGGAGAACATAAGGACATAAGAATGGAGGAAACTACAGTGGGCCTATTGACCCTATGGCCCACACTGGGCAGTCCCGTTTACACCCAACTCCTATCGCTCACATATCCATCCAACCTACAGTATGTTTGAAGCTATCCAGCGTATTCGAGTTAATGATGATGTTTGGTAACTTGTTCCACTCATCCACTACTCTATTTCCAAACCAATGTTTACCTATCTCGCGCCTAAATCTAAATATGTCTAATTTAAAACCATTGCTATGAGTTCGCTCCTGGTTGGATAGTTTGAGTACCTTTGTTATATCACCTGTGTTTAATCCTGACTTCCATTTATACACCTCTATCATATCGCCCCTCACTCTACGTCTCTCGAGGGAGTGCAATAGATGCTTTAATCTGTCTCTGTACTCAAGGTTCCTAATGCCTGGGATTAGTCTTGTCATTCTCCTCTGAGTCCTTTCTCGGGATTCTATATCCATTCTGTAGTACGGTGACCAGAACTGAACTGCTACTATCTTTGTAGCATGTCTCTCTCTCTCTCTCTCTCCTCTACGCAGCCAAATATTTCCGAAGAAACACTATTGAACAAATTGATAAATAAAAGAAAACTAAAAGTAACATTTTGTGTGGGTGAGTGTTGGCGGGTGTAGCGAGGGGCAGTAAAGGCCGCCTCCTGGTCTGGGCAAAAATAGAGGAGCAGCAGATCCTGAAGCACGCAAGACACACCTCCACGAATTTGAAATGGAAATGAAGTAAATATTTTTGGTCGAATATTTGGTGTTGCACGTGTGTGTGTGTGTGTGTGTGTGTGTGTGTGTGTGTGTGTATTTTTATGTTTATGTGTAAGTGTATTTATATCTTCATGTTTTAAGGGGAATAGCCCACCTGGGCACAGGTCATCTACCCACAACGGAGCGAAAAAATAAGAGTAAAAATAAATTAAAAATATAAAAGAAAAAGATTATATTAATCTACACCACAAAGATGCTGGAAGACCTGGTTTTTGAAGACACTTACAGTGTAGTTAGGTTGGTCGTGTGGAGAAGAGGAACATGGGGCATATGTGTGTTAGTTACAGTGTGAAGACACATATGTGTTTGTATGTGTGCATCAGGACACTTAAATAATTATGTGATTTATCTGAATGAAATATTGATGTTGGAGGGTTTACAGTACAAACACCCTATATGGAGATGTGAATCGTGTGCTTATACCACTGTAGACATCACACGGAGGTTAAGTATAGGTTTAGGTTAGGTTAGGCTAGGTTAGGTTAGGTTAGGTTAGGTTAAAGTAAGGTAAGGTAAGGTAATCTCAGTACGGCTCACCTGATTGGCTAGTGTTCCATCAACTGGCCTCATTATCTGGGTAGAAGTGGTGGCCCCATACAGGTACTAACTAAATTCAACGTTACTTTACTGTGTTGATCCTGGCATCCTTGTGGTAATTTTTTTACGAACACAAATAATATACTTTGATAACTTGAAAATTGGAGCCTTACCTCATCCTCCCCTCCTCCCTCCCTCCCCATCCCCCTCCTCCTCCCCTTCCCTCCCCCATTCCTCCCTCCCCATCCCCCTCCCTCCCCCTCCCTCCCCCCCCATCCCCCTCCCCTCCCTCCCCTCCCCTCCCCCTCCTCCCTCCCCCCCTCCTCCCCCTCTCTCCCTCTCCTCTCCCTGTCTTACTAAATCACTTTTCTCCGACAGTACTTTCACATACTTAACTTATCGTAGGACAGGATTATGCATCTTTAATGAAGTTCTCTGAAGACTTGAGCCCAATCTACAAGCACATGTTGGAGGCACAACTCCAGGCCGTATAACACAATAGCTTGGTGGCTGCAGCACCCAGCACCCAGGACACAGGACCCAGCCCAGCACCCAGGACCCAGCACCCAGCACACAGCCACCCAGGACACAGGACCCAGTACCCAGCACCCAGGACCCAGCACCACACACAGCACCCAGGACAGGACCCAGTACCAGCACCCAGGACTCCAGCACCCAGCACACAGCACCCAGGACACAGGACCCAGTACCCAGCACACAGACCCAGCACTCCAGCACCCAGGACACAGGACCCAGTACCCAGCACTCCAGGACCCAGTGCACTCCAGCACACAGCACCCAGGACACAGGACCCAGCACCCAGCACACAGGACCCAGCACACAGGACCCAGGACCCAGCACCTGGCACACATGGACCCAGCACACAGGACCCAGCACAGCACACAGGACCCAGCACACAGCACACAGGGACCCAGCACACAGGACCCAGCACAGCACACAGGACCCAGCACACAGGACCCAGCACACAGGGCCCACAGTGCACAGGACCCAGCACACAGGGCACACAGCACATGGGACCCAGCACACAGACCAGCACCCAGGACCCAGCACCCAACACTTTCATATAAATCCGGAGCGTGTTAAAGTGGAGGGACGGTGTACAGTACATGGGTGATATTCCGATGTTAACTCTCCAGTATGCCATATGGAATTAATATAGAAATAGGTATATTAAAACACAAACTATTGATGATGGCCTAACCTAACCTAACCTAACCTAACCTAACGTTGAAAAAAAACACACAAAAACAAAAACTAACCTAACCCTCCCCCCCCCATGTATAGCGTTAGGGCGTATAATCACAGGTGAAGTAAGCTGGGGAAGGAGGTTAATGTTTACGTAAGCCACATAAACTGTTGTTCACGGTCACAGCTTTATGTTCTGACAGTTAATAATTGGTCTGAAGGTCTGACTAAACCCTGGGACCAGTAAATGATGGGGTAAAAACTAGCCTTCGTTGTTTACAGTAAATGATGGGGTAAAATACTGTAGCCTTCGTTGTTTACAGTAAATGATGGTAGGTTGTTTACAGTAAATGATGGGGTAAAATACTGTACAGCTGTAGCCTTCGTTGTTTACAGTAAATAAAATACTGATCTGTTGGTAAATGATGGGGTAAAATACTGTAGCCTTCGTTGTTTACAGTAAATGATGGGGTAAAATACTGTAGCCTTCGTTGTTTACAGTAAATGATGGGGTAAAATACTGTAGCCTTCGTTGTTTACAGTAAATGATGGGGTAAAATACTGTAGCTTCGTTGTTTACAGTAAATGATGGGGTAAAATACTGTAGCCTTCGTTGTTTACAGTAAATGATGGGGTAAAATACTGTAGTCTTCGTTGTTTACAGTAAATGATGGGGTAAAATACTGTAGCCTTCGTTGTTTACAGTAAATGATGGGGTAAAATACTGTAGCCTTCGTTGTTTACAGTAAATGATGGGGTAAAATACTGTAGCCTTCGTTGTTTACAGTAAATGATGGGGTAAAATACTGTAGCCTTCGTTGTTTACAGTAAATGATGGGGTAAAAATACTGTAGCCTTCGTTGTTTACAGTAAATGATGGGGTAAAATACTGTAGCCTTCGTTGTTTACAGTAAATGATGGGGTAAAATACTGTAGCCTTCGTTGTTTACAGTAAATGATGGGGTAAAAATACTGTAGCCTTCGTTGTTTACAGTAAATGATGGGGTAAAATACTGTAGCCTTCGTTGTTTACAGTTGATGGGGTAAAAATACTGTAGCCTTCGTTGTTTACAGTAAATGATGGGGTAAAATACTGTAGCCTTCGTTGTTTACAGTAAATGATGGGGTAAAATACTGTAGTCTCCGCTGTTTACCTAACCTAACCTAATTTATTTCAACTTATCGTAACCTAACCTAACCTAACTTAAGCCTGGAGTGATGGTGGTGTGGTCGTGGTAGGGAGGGTTAATACCTTACTTTCATCAATTCTTATTTCCCTTAAAACTTTCTTCATCTGACTTAACACCATCAATCTCCGTGGCCTTGTCTTGCCGACGTCAATAACACCTGTAGATAAGAATACACCGTAGAAGCTGACAGACTGTAATGGTGGCTGTCAACCAAACATAATATCATACGTGTCGTTTATCCTCCGAGATGGCATACAGTTTACGTTACCATGGAGACGAGATGATGCTGCCGTAATCTCAAGGTAAATCTAGTCAGGTATAAATGTTTATATGAAATGCATTTTCTATTCTGATTTAGAACTAGTAAAAAAAAGTTGTCTCCAGTGAAGTAAAATGTTTTAAATAAATAAATATTCTCTCTCTCTCTCTCTCTCTCTCCGTAAAAGATAGAGGACATAAATTCTTAAAGATTCGTACCCTAAATATTTGGGCCAAAAAACAATAAACATCTAATTGGTTCACGTAGAGTTTTAAAGGAGAAAACATTAGGCGGTGTGACGTCATCGCCGCCCAGAGTCATAAGAACCTTCTGGTCTGTTCCGAGTGTCCAGGTCCATGAACATATTACTGTATTATCTTGCCCCGGACACACGTGAGTATGGTGTTTATCCCAGTGTACCACCTACCAAACATCACAGGTTTCTCCCGGGTACTACTATGGTGTTCTCCTGTACCAGTAATCTACAATAATTGGCCCAGGGAAGGATAACTTTAGTCTCCCCTCCCAAGTTTTTCTAAGCCTCCGTTTTCTATAATAGTATGGCGTCTTTCGTATGGGTCTTAAATAGTTAAACTACGGTGTGTTGATTGAGAGGTTATTACCATGATAGTCGTGATACTATTATTAACTCGAGTCATAAAGCGAGTCTCCACGTCTTGAACAACATAAACACAAGACAAATAAATTAATGGCTGTAGAAGTGAATACAAATTAATAATCCTGGAGGAAAAGATGGGGAAGTTTACGGCTCTATTATTTATTTATTTTATTTTTTATTTTTTTCTTGAGGTTTTGCTTTGTATTTAAGCTATCTGTAGCGGATATCAATGAGTGTATTGTTGTGTCACCACCATGATAGGGAGGGAACATTTGGTCTTGGTGTGTCTGTCGGGTAAAAATTAAAATCGGGTCTTTGTTTCCATAACTCGTGTTCGCAAATATTTCAGATCTACATATTTAATTTATCACTCGTTGCCATTTATCAACCAGGTAAGATCTTTTTAGGGACGGTTAAACTTTTGACATTTCACAACTTAATTATCCTAAAAATTTGGTCACAATTAACACTGACCTTAAGGTGATAAGTGGTGAAATGATCTGTTAGAATTAAAGTTAAGAATGTTAGTTAGACACATTCATGTAGTATCCCCGAAAACTGAAGAATATTTCCGTTTTCTGTGAACACCACAACTTGCCACCTACTGGTCTAGATTCACAGATGGTCGTGCGAAATATCTACCTCTACGAAACAGGATATACTTGCGTAGTGGCTGCGACTAGACTATATTGTGTGGTGTTAATATTGTGTTTTGTTCATTTTGTGATGCTTCACCTGTTGGCTCTGCCTCTACTCTACCCCGTTGCTGGTCACATTCGCTTCCACCGTGCATGCGTGACTTATTTTGTACCGGCAATTTTTTTTTTCATAGCAGCGGATTTTAGGGGAGTTCAGGGCGTGAAGCCTCACATTTTTGGTGTCCACACATATTACAGAGCAATCACATTTTCGTGGCACCCAACTTTAAATACAGAAGAAAAAAGTTAGCGTCTTTAGGTTTATTTTTATTATGTCACTGACCAGTTAGTTTGACGTTATGTGTAGTTGGCAGCCTGGGGGATATAAGCTGGGATACTCCGTTCCTTACTTAGAGGCTTAAGTAAAAATAAATTTCCATAGCCAAGGCCTAGGCCTGTGAGTGTCTTACTAAAATTAAATAGTGTAGGACTCGGGGCTAACACTCGTCTGTACTGCACAGGGCTCCCACAGGCCTAAATCCGGCGCCGGTCCTTGTAACTAAAGTTATGAAAATGTTCTTAACTTGTTGACTTGGGCCAGAGAGAGAGAGAGAGAGAGAGAGAGAGAGAGAGAGAGAGAGAGAGAGAGTGTGTGTGTGGAGGCAACACGCACATCAACAAGGTCCACCGTGTCAAAGGATTATTTTCCGACACCTGACACTCCTGATTCTCTGGCCGGCGTCACAGGGATGCTCCCCTCTCCCCACCCTAACCTCCTGTCTTCTCCCGTTACCTCCCCTCCCATCTTCTCCCCTTACCCCCCTCTTCTCCCACCATTCTAGCTACTCTCCGTATCTCTCAGTACCTCCCCTTCACCTCACACGCGGACTGGGCACTATTTGGGGGCTGTGCCATTTCATAATGAGTTAGGCCCCATTCCACCCCACTAGCACTGTTAGTCATCTATGACCTCTGTAATTGTCACGATACTTAATAAGCTTATTATAAACTGCCTCAGTAAAAATCATATGCCAATGGAGACAGCCTTATAGACTTGACAGATTTGTCTTTATAAAATATATAGCGACATCAGTTTATGACAATGAAAGAGAGAATTTAAATGAACTAGAATAAAACAAATTGTTTGTTTAACTCTTCACAGAAACCAGAATCAATTGATATATATATTTTTTGTTTACATTTCTGAAAAAGTAGTGAGTCTCTGGTGGAATTACTCAGTTCAGTTGAGCATATAAGGGCGGCCTTCAGATGATCCTGCTCCTACTCCCTACATTCACTCATTTACTCGCCTCTCCCTCACCCTCATCCAGCCTCCCTCCCTCCCTTAGCCTACCACCATTATGTTCCTGCCCCCTCACTTCCTCTCTTACCCCCTACCCTCTCTTCTCCTCCCCTCTCATTCTTTTCTCCTTTCCATCTCCCATTCATCTTTTTTTCTTACTTCACCTTCCTACTCTTCCTCAACTCTCCCTTCATCCTTACCTTCATTCTCCTTCCCTCACTCCCCTCTCCCTCCCCCTCACCCTTCTCTCCATTCCTTCATCCCTCACCCCTCCCTTCCCTCATCCCTGTTCCTCACCCCTGACAAGCCCCTGTAAACACACCGGTGATGAGGACTGTACTTATATCCTAACCTTAGTCTAGCGGCAACAACATCTTGACAAATGTATTCTAGTGATCGTGACACATCTCATCATGGTAAATAATGGATTAACTAGTGCCTCTTTGCACTTGTCTCCTGCTAGAAATTCATCAACAAGTTCTTTTCTGATTACAGTTTTTAAGGTTCTGTTTGACAGTCCTGGATTGTATTAAACATTGTCATTGTTCGACGCGAGTTTCTCCAAGGCATCAACTCTATCATGTTGACTGAGGCCTATGTGAGAGGGGGATCCACAGCAGCTTGATCCTGACACCCCCGTCAACAAGACACATATGCTTGTGTCTGGCTTCAGAGACAAGCGGGTGACAGTCTGAGTTTAGGGTATCAAGAGCAAGTAGTGAGGATAAGGAGTCAGTGATGATGAGACTGTCAGTGGCAGTGTATTCAACAAGTTTCGGGGCTGTGGCAAATAGTTCAGTGTGTAGAGTGGATGACTAGTTACTAATTGTAGCTCCTTCCTCTATTACATTACCGTTAGGCTGAGTCACTTCC